CGAGCGCAGAGCCACTTTTCGAATATTGCGTGTTTTTTCTATTCTTGTAATATATAATTGTCCTATTAAACCACGGGGGACACCTGTTTCGAGGTCGGCACTGTTTGATCCGAGCAGATGCAGCAATAGCTAGATTTAATGTATTGTAGAACGATGAAAATAAGCTTTCAATACTTCCGGTACTGAGAAATCAAGCGTCATATGTGAAAGACGATGTTTTAGCAATACAATAATGATTTTATGAAAATCATAACATTTATTTAAAAAAGGTTGATTTGGCACATTAAGGCAGTTCAACGAACCATCATTCTTATGACGAAAGAAAATGCGCATTGATGGATGATAAGAGTCCTCAGGTAAGATAAAAGATGGGTAACGATTTACGTTAATCTCACGAAAGTTGGTAAAGCAGAGATCAAGCAGTCTACCGTTACAATTAGGGATACGATTATATTGAGCCAAGTTATGATCAAACAATTCATTAAAGAACACAACAGCCCCATCAGACGTTGAAGTAGGAATCAAACAGCCAGAATTATCATTGTTACACCAAGTGACTTGAGGCAAGTTGAAGTCACCCAATGCAACGACCAAATCGTTAAGTCTAGACCGCTTGGCCACTATACAAATGAGGGCAGCGTGTTTCTTGTAAGTAGAGATATCAGAATTTGGGGGAATATAAAAGCAGGTTACAAATAGCTGTTTATTAGGCAATATCGCACGAATGGCGATAAATTCAACGTCAGGAGAAGTGGGAAATTCTATTGAATTGGACGGGACTGACGCAGATATGGCAATTAATACACCACCAACAATGCGATTCACTCGATCCTTTCTGAAAACTTGGAAAGAATTGTGAACAAGTTCCGACGAATGAAGATCGGGTCTTAGCCAAGTTTCGGTGAAGGCCAAACAGAAAAACTTTGTGCTCACTGAATTTAGAAAAGTAGAACGAATTTTTGAATTAAGGCCTCTAACATTTTGATAAATGAGAGATAATGGGCCTGAAGAAACATTTAGTTTTTTGAAGCCGACAAGACTACTGCTTTGGTATTACGGGGACGATCTCGAGGGATAAATTCCTTAATCAAGGATCCTACTGGCCACAGTGGTTTGTTTAACATCATATCACTGTTTTCAGTCGGAACTAGTATTTTAAAAGAGGAGATTGCCGTAGATTGAGAATGAGCCATTTTGAAATTGCTAACGCGCTTTAAGGTGACTGATGGGATTTTCGCCGCCACATAACTTTTTATGTTATCCACCGATGTTTCAGGTGCCAGTCTTGACACAAATATTGCTTTTCTGAGGGGAACTGCTGTCAAGCAAATATTATTAGTTGGAACAGGAGGGTTCACGGTTGGGGAGTTTAGAGTTGGCTTGTGCGACTTGCCCAGTCTGGTGACCAGCGTTCACATTCGAAAAGCCAGGGGGAGAGGATGATTTATTTTTCTATTTATTATTTTTAGGCGATGGCGCTTGATTAGAGTGAGTGGCGGCCCTGGGCGGAGATACCCTTGCCACTTCAGCGTAGCTTAAAACGGAAGCACTTGCCGGCTTGTTTGTAACTATTTTGTTACCAACCGACTCAATAATATCGGAAACATTAACGTTCATTTTAGAGTCAGATGGATCGGTAACTTGTACCAACGAATCAGATTTAGAGGAACTCCGAGGTGACGTCCCACACGCTACGCTACGGGTTGTTATTTTTCTGGCTTGGGTAGAAGATGAGTGCTCAATAAAACGACGCTCATCAAACCTAGACTTAGTTAGCTCAAACTTCTTCCACAAGGAGCCGAGATTTCTACTCAATTCCGAGAAACCATTTCGCGTCCCCGTGAAAAGTTTATAAAAATCAATGTCCCGCTGCCTACAGTGAGGACATGACCATCATAAGCCTTTGGAAGGGTCAGCGACTGCGCCAGCAGCAGGGCCGAGGATACCAGCACACTTTTATACTTTTACAAATACCCAGTTTTAAACGCGTGTAAAACGGAAACAAAAAAATTTTAAGCCATAACACTAACAAAAACGTACGATCTCGCGCGCGTCACTTGCCAGACTATATATACAATATAAAATTAATAATCAAATAAAACATTTAAATAACTTTTTGATTAAGCATTAACTAATGTATACTATATTATTAATACTAGTATTATTATTAGTATTTAATAATATTGTATAGAGAGAAGAGACAACCAATCCCACTTGCATTGGCACACACGTACACGTGCGCACACATATATGCACGCTTTTAAATTTAAAAAGAGTTTTTTAGAAAGAGGAAAAACAAAACAAAATTACAAAAACCAAACCATAAATAAAAGGAAGTTAATTTAACTCCAACGTAATATGCATTTTAATTTTCATAGTTTTTCGAATTTTAACCTGTTGAACAGTTAATAGTTGCGACAATATTAACGGCAAAAAATCGCTTAGTGTATAAGTGGCGTATACTGTGGGGTCTTCGAGAGAGTCGTTTGAGAGTAACCTTAACGGTCAAAGGAAATCGAATGGCTTTGAACGTGCATGGAACTCGATTCATTGTTGATTGATGCCAAATTGTGAACCAATTTCAAAAAACTTTATTATATTGACAATGCTATGCCATAATACATAGATACGTTAGCCGTTGGCCGACACAGTAGTAAGATTCAAACGCGTTAAAGTGTTTGAGCTGACTCCATGCACGATTGCCTCAAAAGTTCATTCGCAGACTATACATGTTGAGCTCGTAGGCATGAATTTTGGCATTTTTGGAAGTAGTATTTTAACAGGAAAGGTAGTTGGGCTATTTCGTGTTAGATGTTCTTCACTTTGCACTCTTAAATACCGCAACGAGCTGCCGGAAACATACGCTTCTCTAGGACAGACTTATCGGATATTTCATTATTTCCCTTAGTATTAGTTTATAATCCTTTTACTCAGCTCAACGAGTTATCTGTTATTGATTTGCTAACTTATAGAAGATTTAGAAGAATTTGTAGCCTAGAAAATGCACTTCATACGATTACGAGTCCGTTATTTAGCAAAAGTAAAGACTTTGTAGTTAATCAAAATATAGATCTGCTTGCTCCAAATTTGCTGCAGTTAATTTCTATGTCTAATAACTGAGGGACTGAGGCACTTTTCAATCGCAAAGAATAAAATATTTAATTTTCGAAGTTTTACGGTGACTAACTTGTTTTCTAGTGGCTCTCGCACTGATGTAATACATACATACATACATTTAAGCAAAACATTTGATTTGGTTAACCATAACTTAATTATCTTCAAACTCTAAGCTTCTGGCTTCCCTCTCTATTTAGCAAAGTGTATAAACTCTTATCTGCACAATAGATCATTCAGGGCTTTGTTTAACCCCATCACCTCGGATGAATTCACCGTGACGTCTGGCGTACCTCAAGGCAGCCACTTAGGTCCCATTTTATTTAGTTTATGCATTAATGATATCCCATCGGGGATTAATTCCAGCCAGATCTTAATGTATGCTGATGATGTGAAAATGTTTTGTCGTTTCTTTGTTGAATCGCAATCACATCAGCTTCAAAGTGTCTTGAATAATTTGGTTGCATGGTGTTATTTGAATTTTCTGAAACTAATTCGAAATAAATGTAAGATGTTTTCTTTCTCAAGGAGAAAGTCATTCATTACTTAATATTTCGTTGATTCGCACACGTTGGAGGACGTCAAATCGTTCACAGAAATAAGCGCTCTTTTTGACCATAGGTTACGCCTTAACTTGCATATTGAGCTCTCGTCAAGCAAAGCTAGGTCCGCGCTTGGTTTTATAAAGAGGTTGTCCAAAGAGCTTGATGATTCTTCTATTACGAAAAGGTTGTACATGTGGTTGGTTAGACTTATACTTGAGTATGCCTCCGTTGTGTGGTCTCCTTTATATAGATGCTATGTAGATTCAATTGAATCTGTTCAAAAGCAATTCTTGCTGTTTGCCCTTAGGAATTTGGGTTGGGACCCATATTTAGATTTGTAGATTTGTTCTTGGGGTTTCCTTCTTAAACAAAGTAATAAATGGTATTATTGGCTCGCCCACATTACTTGTTGAGATAAGTTTTAATGTCCTTAACCGCTTCTCTAGGCACATTATCTTCATTAAGCTTAGTCAATGTAAATACAATTATGAGCTTTTTAACCCGCTCAAAGTTATTTACAGAAACCTAAATGATATCTATCACTTATTCTCATTATCAGACTCTTTAAACTCTATTAAAGCAACATTGCTTAATATGCTCGATTTACCTATGTCGTGCTTAAAGTAACATCTCATTCTTAATATCTTACTTTTTGTTTAAAATAATATTGTGTTGTTAACATGTTGGTTGACAAATTTACGCATGTTTGCAATGGTTTAGGGGTTCACTTGCAACCTGGATCTGTTCTTGTTGCGGGTGTGCTTCTGTGCTAGCTGTGTACATGCTTTTTTCTTTTTTTCCTCTTTCTCTTTTTATTTATTTATTCATGAATTATTATCACCTTTTTTTTTAAACTTACTTGCTTATTATTATTCTAGTTTTTTCTTCCTTTTTAATCATATACTAGTTTTAAAACAATTAGCATAAAATTTTCTGTTAAGATGTACTGAATTCGACTGTAATTTTCTTTAGTTAAATATCATGTATAAATGAATAAATAAAATAATCCATTTCCAAAGGATTTCGTTCGTGGACTAAAATTTCGCTTTAGTGCCTACAGACAACATGTTGAAGTTTATTCCCACCGTCAAACAGGGGGAATTTAACTCAAGCGCAAGTTTTGATAATAAAATTGGGACCGTCTAGCAAGTAAAACCTATAGGCTCAAGCGGAAGGATTAAAAGTATGCAATTTTTTCTTTTTTTTGATCAAAGATAGCAAAGATCGAAAAAGCGATTTACAATAATCACCGTTGGAGTTAACGATCAAAGTTAAAAGTAAGGCTGCTGCTCTTTAAGAATAATTGTGACACAGATAAAAAAATGTTTAAAAAAGCTTTGCTTTTATTTTTTTCCATAATAAGTTCAGCTTTCGCGGATGAATATATATATACAAAAAATATTTGCTTTCTAAATTAAAAGCATTGAGCATAAGACACCTTAAGGTTATTTTAAATGCATCATTAAAAAAAAATTATTATTTACACCACTTTTTTTTTACTTTTCACTTTTTAGCTAAGCGATCCTCGTAAGCAGACCACAGGCGCTGGCGATACGAAGCTGCGGCAGTAGCTATGCATTTGGCATGTAGGATACCACGTCCTACGACAGCAATATCAGCACCCTTTTCCTTTATTACGTATTCTGGTTCATTATATTGTTGGCCCAATTTGTCGGCCTTCTCGTCGATTTTAACACCTGGCGTTAGCTGTATTAGACCCGGAAAAGCAAAACAATCTGCGGATTGGCAAACAATGCCAGCTACAAAATCGATATCAATTCCATCGGTGGCTACTTTGCGGGATGCCTCTTTATATGTATCGTCAATTAAATTGCCAGAGACTGACATTTCAGCCAAAAGAAAAACGCCACGTAGTTTGCTGAAACTTTGCCGACTTTGTTTTAATCCCTGCAAAACGCTGCGTCCCGAGATAGTATGCGCGGTCACCACATCAGCCCAACGGGCAATTTCATAAAGCCCTTTACCGCATTGCAAAGACACTGTATTTCCGATGTCAGCAAATTTACGATCTTCCATTATTAGGAATTTATGGCGTTCAGCGATAGCCAATAAAGTCTCAATGAATTGATTGTTAAAATCTTCTAAAATGTCGATATGCGTTTTTAGAAGACATATGTAGGGACCGCATTTGTCCGCTACTTCCAAAACTTGGGCACATTTTGTAAGGTCCGCAGCTAAACATAAATTCGTTTCTTTTGTGCTCATTAAGTTGAACAATTCCTTAGTCACTTCACATTTAGCTAAATTCGCTCGTACTTCGTAAGATATTTTGCTTCGAACGAAATCGCTTCTTACTGAAATGATGGAAAACAAATCAATTTTGTAAATTGTTAACGTAAGTTTAGCAAATCGAGAGGAGTAATACTTCTTTATATTCCCGTAATTTACCACACTCTTTATGTAGATCATAAATCTAACTTGCCTTGTTTTTCATTGTTATCCACAAAATTACCGTCACTGCCTATTTGTACTTCGGCAATATATTTTGCTACACTATCAGCAATTGAACGCTCAATTTTACCGGCTTCCAGTAAAGTGTTGATCAAAAATGAAAGTGTAAACAAAGAGTGCATACGTATTGAATGTTCAGCTATATTCTTGGCACCACCTTGTTCACGGTCAACTACAACTATAGCATCGGTCACCTGAATACCTTCTTGCTTCAAATCACGCACTGTATCCAAAATACTTGACCCAGATGTCACTACATCTTCAATAATAAGACATGTATCACCCAAGCGGAAGATACCTTCAATTAACTTTTTGGTCCCGTAACTTTTGGCCTCTTTACGACGGACAACCATTGGAATATTTTCCTTTACAGCGACAATCGTCGCAATCGGTAGGGCTGTGTACGGAACTCCGCACACATGTTTTGCCACTAAGTTATGTTCTTTCATATAATCTGCTACTAAATTAGAAATCGTTTGCTTAAAGGTTAGAGAAAATACATTAACTGAATAATTTTCCAATTTTTATACAAAAAAGGGAAATACTCTTACCATAACTTCCGGATAACTAACAATAACTCGCAGGTCGAAATATACCGGCGAATTGATGCCCACTTTCATTTTGTAATCTCCGAATTTAAATGCATTAATCTCATATAATTTGAGAACCAATGATTTTTTAGGATCCATATTCTTTATAAAATACAATTCTATAACCGTTGATATTTTTTTTTTTTTTTTTTAAATGTTGTATTATGAATTTTCGAAATTTTGCGGTGAATTGTTTTATAAATCACTAATCACGTGCAGAGGTTTGCTTTTATTAACAAAGAAAATTGATATCGCAGTTAGCACAAACAAGGAATCTTAAGTTAAAATAACAAACCGAAATTAAATGAGAAAACAAACGTTTTCAGCGATTTCATTCATACCTGGTGCAAGTCGATTTCTATATATTTGTTAAATCATTCCGTTTCGTTTTCTTTGACTTTTTGGAATTTGTTTCAAATGTTTTTATTCTTATGTAGTAGATAAAAAATTTTCGATTTCCAAGTACTTTCGTATTCAATAAACATTTTGAATAGTGTTAATATTTAGTTACTTTTAATTACCTTGCTTCTGCTTAACCTTCAAAAATGTCTTATCTCACAAGGTTTTCTATGGTTTTTTTTTAATACCCTCCGCTGTAAAATGGTGATATACTCATTTTGTTTTTCTTTATAATGTATATAACACCCAAAAAGAAGCTTTAGAGACCCTATAAAGTATATATATTCTTAATTAGTGTGAAGTGAGTGTGAGTCTTTATGTGTACGAAACAGTCTACTCTTTTAGGTGCAACAATGAGAAAAATGTGCCATCCCCATACAAAGTTGCAAATGAATCAATTGTAAAAATGTAAGCGGAACGGAGTATTCTGTTACGTTTTTCTTATCCTCAATAATTGCACCTTGTCAGTTTGCTTTAGATGCGATTGAGAGACAGAAAAACCAATTGCGCTCTTGGGGAGCTCTAGCCAATTGAAATAACACGCGCAAAGGGTATTTACCCTTTAAATTATATTGGAAATGTTTTGACTAATGCTGAACTCATTCCTTGTATCTAAGGTTTCGTTTGACAAATTGTCCTAAAGCCAAAGAATGATATAAACATATGAAATTGGAGTCAGATAATATGCAATTACATGGGAAAGACAAAGATCGTTACTTAATTACGCAAAGTGTTTTAGGGGATTTTCCAAAAACTGCCAATAAAATTTGCGTAGTTAAACAATTAAATCAAAGTTTGTTATTTTATATGGAATGTATTTTTACGAATAATTAAGAAGTCATTCTGTTTAAAATATGAGCTGAAAAGCTGCACTTATCAGCATTTAGTTTTTCGAGAGCAAGAATCCTTACCATTTTTTGATACCGTACACGTTCAAAAATTCAAGGTTACTTGCTTTGTTCATATTTCACCTGCACAATGTTTTTCCCTATTTTTTTTTAACAATTTATTTTTATATATTTCCTTTTGTTTAACAATTTACGTGTGTGTACAGATTTTGACTATCAGTTCGGGTTGATAAATAAAATAAAATTTTTGTTGTAATAAATCAAAAGCAATTATAAGTAATATAGATATGAGGCCAAATGTTGCGCGTCCAATTTAAGTCGAAGATGAGGAGTCTAGAATTGCTTCTAAAACTCCTTCCAAGCCGATTGGCGTTCTTTTAGGTCCGCCTGCCTAGCAAAGATCAATATTAAGTACATTCCATGGTTAGTTTGTCAGTTTGAATAAATGAGGAATATTTTTAAAATTCTTTTTCTTCACAGTTTTTGAGATTTTAATTTGTGCAGCTCAAGGCATTTCTTGGATAGATGCAATTTTACAAACTGCATCACCTAGAAAAGGAGCAAAGCCTAAAGTGCTACAAAGTGATATGAAGGATGAACATAAAGATGAGCCAGTTGTTAGTAATGAATGCTTTGCAAATACCATTAGTTCCGTTAATCGAGAGAACAGTGAGAGTAATCAATAGCACAAAGTATTGAAACTTAAAAAAGAATGTTTTAATAGCTTTATGGGCATCACAAAGCCGTTTTGAAGTTTAGGACATTATCTTAAGAGTGTAGCGTGCCGATGAGATGAAGATGTCAAAGGGATTGTAAGTCGTAGTCCTTCAACAGTTACTTAATTTTCCATACTTACTGAATTATTTATACTTAATTTTTATTGAAATTATGCAGAAACTTAAACGTATAGTAAACCATATAAGTGGCTTTGAAGGATCCAATGTGGAACCAAGAAAGAGATTGCGTTTCGCGACATTTCAGAATAAAAAAAATTTATATACAAAAATTTTGATAATTTTTTTAATTAATTTATTTACGGCAAATAATTTTATTTATTATTCAAATACATTGCTATGTGTATATAGGTAGAGGTCTACAGCTGAGGAGAATCTGAAAAAATGTTTGTTTGTTTTCGCTCATAAGAAGGTTTGTTTTCGCTCATAAGAAAAAAATTTTGCAATTTCTCCTTTTATTTTATTTCTTTATTGCTTTACATGCTTTTAAAAGTGTTAAAATTTATTAAAATATATCGTACTTTTTGTGTGTTTATTGCTAAAACTGATCATCGCAGATACCGTACGTGTTTCCTTAAATACAAAAAAAAAAAATTGAAAACGTTTGTCGTTATCCTTAGTAGTTTCCCAAATCTTTTCAAGTGAGCGGTTATTTTACAAATAACTAAATAATAGACAACCATAAGGCATAATCGCCCCGGAGCCGTCAGATAAAAACTCGAATAAATTTAATCTATTAGCTGAGACATACCCCCAAAGAAAAAAAATTGAAAAATCCCGACTTTTTGGTGTTGCCAATCAGTGACATCACTCTTATTGATAAAAAATATATTCTTATTTCTTCAACCGATGCTAGAGTCACAATTTCCCAAATTAGCCCTTTTGCTATAAAAAAAGCCCTAGATAGCATTACAACATACATAGACTCTATCTCGATTCTACACGATGGGAATTTACTGGTCCTCGCTAGGTACTGAAAAGCTCATAAAATCGAAATCTTTAGCTAATCTATGTGCTATTTCCGCTAAACTGCATGAAAAACTTAACTCAGTTAGATGCGTAATTTATGCTCCGTGCTTAAAGCACGTGCCGGAAGATGAAATTGTTCGCGAAATGGGCAATCAAGGAGTGACTGAAGTATATAAATTCACCAAACTGAATGATGACGGAAAAACTCGCTCTACTACAGGAAGGATTATTTTAACCTTTGATCGCTATCGATTACCGCGAACAGTTGATGTGGCGTGATATAAATGTAAAGTAGAACTATACATTCCAAATCCTATGAGATGCAAAAACTGCCAACGCCTGGGTCATACGGCAAAAAGATGCACCAGTGCTCCATCTTCCTCCACATGCTGAAAACTGTACGCATAGCTTCTACTTAAATTGCAACAATGCCCACGTTTTACACAAATGCGTGAAATTTAAAAAATCCAAACAGAAAATTACTGTGGCATGGGCGAAGCGCAACGCAAATACCGGGAAAGAAATCCATCTCTAGCCCAGGGAATTGGCAAAAGTAATACCTACGCTGCTGTTCCCTCGTAAATCGAGCTTAATAAGCCTTTAACTCCAACTCCTTCCAATGAAAAACCTGTTCCAGCATTACTCAAAAATTATATTGTGAAACCAGTTCCATCACCTGCCAAAGATTACATTGAAAAAACTAAAGCAACACCAAATACTGAAACAATTAAAACGACGACATATATGCTAAAGTCTAATAAAGTAAATTCCCCAGAATCTCCAGCTGTCAACTCTAGTCAACAAATTACAAGCAGTAATGAATCCAATATCCAACCAAAATCCATTCTTTCATCCATTAATCAATCTTCAATTTCAAATTATTCATGTGCGCCCACTCGTTGCGCTTCAAATGTACCAAGCCACCTAAGCACAGATTATTCTGCTGGTAAGAATAAATCATTAACGCAAAAGTCCTATAGTGACCTTTTCGATGGAGACTCGGGCATGTCAACTTAACCTTCCTTCATTACAATTAAATAAAGTTTTTAAAATTCTACAATGGGACATTAAGGGACTTATTAATAATTTTGATGAACTCCGTACACTCGTAAGTGATTTTAACCCAAACCTTTTATCGCTTCATTGTAGAAGCTCTTTTAATCCTCTTCCATCCAAACCATATACTGGTCACTTCACGAATGCTGATCAAAATTCATATTCCAAACAAGGAGTTGGTGTTTTTCTGAAATCAAATATACCTTACAAACGCATAAATTTTAGCTCAAACATACAAGCCATAGCGATACAAATAATCTTAAACATAAAATTTGCAGTGCTTTCGCTCTATGTCCCACCTTCGCAATTGTTTTCTCAGCAAGAACTTTACAATTTATTCTCCGTAATCTTGTGCACGAGAGATCTCCACATGGGCAAACTCCTCAGGGGATAAAAATTCTATACAAAAATCAAAAAAAATGCACATTTGTCGAAAACAAATGTGCGATGCAGAAAATCTACTGATGCATATTAACGACTTACCAGTACTAAATGTTCACATGCTTCATGTTCTTGGGCTGACGTTTTCCAACAATTATCGTTGGAAAACACACTGCCTTCGGTTAAAAAACTCTCTTTTAACAAGGGTGAATTTCATACAGTACGTTGCTTGGAGAAGCCATGCGCATATTAACACTATTGCTTATCTTACCAAAATGCTTGTGTTAAGCAAGATTGACTATGCTTTGATAATTTACGGCAATAGCTGCAAATCTAATATAAACATTCTTAAACCGCTCTATCACCAAGCCGTTACAGCAAGTTGTTATGCTTTTCGGACGGCGCCCATAAATAATATTACAACTTTAGAAAATAGCCTTTATGAGTTAAAAGCTAAAATAGTCCCCAAGCTTCTTAATTCAAACAAATCTATTCTTGGTGATGACGTGAGAAAGATTGTTATTGCGAAGAAAATTCCAAAGTGGCCATCTGCAATTGAGTATTGTTTGTACCTCGCAAAGGAATTGAAAATTCCCTTAAAAATTTTCCGCTCTTTTGGTGTTAAACCTCCATGAATTTTGAAAGACTCCTCTTTTGACATCTCGCTGTCTATGTACAAGAAAGAAGACACTCCAATTACGTCTTCAGGAATCTAATAGCTGAAAAAACCCAAGTATAGGACAATACTGGTTGGAATCTTTTATACACAGACGGCTTAAAATCTTCTGGTCTGCCTCCTGCTTGTGCCGTGGTAGATGCTACAGGACGGGTTCTTCTTAACCTCATATTTCCCGAAAGTACTTCAACTTTCACAACCGAAGCCAGAGCTATCCCTCACGCGGCGAACCCTGCCCATAAAAGAATACTCAAAACCGTCATTGTTACCGACAGTTTGTCTGTATTACAAGCTATTCGGAACCATTCGACTTCGAAATGGGTCACCATCAACAAATTAAGAAATATAATTACTATACCCGACGGAAAAATTAAAATGTTATGGGTACCAAGTCACATCGGTTTATGGGGAAATGAGCTGGCTGTTCGAGCGGCAAAGTATGCTGCTTCTGCTTCTCTAATTATGGATGATGTCATGGAAAAGTTAGATCTTCAAAGATACATTAGGAGAAAAGTTAAAGTGAAAATTGCAGAAGGAAATTTGCAATACCATCATCAACACTACTCTTCCAATAACCCTCAATTAATTCCACCTTTATATACAACGAACGTTGAGAAAACCAAGATCCAAACATTTTCGAGAATTCGCCTTGGTCATACAATTGAAACTCACCAATGGATCTTGAAGAAGTCTTCCTCCCTAATCTGCAGTTGTGGACAAAATCTCACCATATAGCACATTCTCTGCGACTGTCTTAACTTTTCCTTGGTTAGAAGTATTGCATTTGGAACGATTAACCCTTTGGACATTCTACAGTCAGCTTCAGAACAGAATATCAATTCAATGTATTACTTTATTAATACTAGTAAGCTTATTATCTAATGTACATTTATTTAAATTAGAGCCGATAGCCTGTGTTGCTAGTGCTCAATGTCTTTTTTTTTAGTCTAAGAATTTATTTCATTAGTCTAAAATTATAATAATAGTAATAATAATAATAAAACGGAAGCTGACTCTGTAGCATATTCAAAGGGCTTCTAACTCTTTCTTGCTTTCTTTTCTTTTTCATCTCTTTAATCAGTTCTTCTTTGAAAGGACGCGTTTGAAATGAAGCAGGGGCAGTAACGCCCACATCAATGGAGCCCACCACACCAACGGAAGGAAACCTCGTCGTACCGCTAAAAAATGTTAAGAAACTTTAGATTTTCGAAAGTAATGGTGATTGAAGCGATTAAGCTATTTGATCCCTTAAGATATTATATGTATCTCGCTATGTTCCAAAGATAGTTAAACAAATAACGGTGACTCGGGAAAATCTTGTAACGAGTTTTCTTGGGCGAGGTATAACTCGATCACTCCAAGGTTCGTTGCAAGAAATTTTGAATAAAAATCCGGACCTTCGGGGGGAATGGTGTATAATTTCCTTGATTTATTATTTCCTTTTTACGGGAGAGAAGTACAGCGATGGGTAGAAGCTGGCTATGGCAAGGAACCAGCGAGGCGACCTGACTTGTCGCGCTATTACCGTTTTTCTTTTTACTTGCGAGGTTAGAACTTTCACTTCCTTTTCGTTTCGCTTTTAATATCGCGGGGCGCTAAAAGAAAAGAACCGGGTTCGTTGCTAGTGTCATAGCTGCCGCCAGTTGGTCTCTGCTTCGTTACTCGTCGGGTAATACCAAGACAAGATGTTCCTCCGTCTTTCAGGGATGACGACTAACACACCTAGCCAGTACATCCCCTATCCGTGGAGTCATTTGTCTAAAAGTTTTTCAGGGGTGACGACTGACACACCTAGCCAGTACATCCCCTATCCGTGGAGTCATTTGTCTGAAATTTTTTCAGGGATGACGACTAACACACCTAGCCAGCACATCCCCTATCCGTAGGGTCAAAAAAAAAGATTTGTCGTATTGTCCGTACCCACTTACCTTCAAGCAGCTATGACACCGAAATGAAAGAATCTGCGCGATGTGCTGCTCTTTTATAGCTGAAGTCTCGGTCGCTTGTCCCATTGCCAACAGGTTCTATGTGTTTACATACGCTTATGTGTACGCTTAGCTTAGATTGGCTGCAGTCGCAACCTTAGTTACGACTTGCATGATGCTGCTTATACATAACTTGATATCACTTACATCTAGCTTATTATTATGTTCGTTCAAATTTCGACGCAACAGGCACCCAGGTACCAAATCGCGTGATTCAATCACCGTTAGGTATGTGAGTGCTTGTGCCTTTCTATGCCACTGTGTTTGCATATGCTTGTTTTTGTTTTGTGTGTTTCTACATGTGTGATCGTGACTTTGTACATTTTGTGCTCTTTGCGAGTACGGATATTGGTGTGCATTGCTATGTGTGACTCTAACGTTTATTTGTTTTGTCTGATCGTATATTCATTGTAGAGCATAAGGGTTTCTACCTAATTATATACCCTAACGGGGTTTATGCAGTAATGCGTAATATGTAAGCGTTTTTATCGTTCGCTTATACAATTTTAAGGCATACAGATTTCTGTATGTTACTATGACCTAACAATACTATAAAATGCTATGTGTGATTCTTTGGTATCTGTGTTTGCATGAGCGAGTGTGCTTATGCATTGCGAAGCATAAGGGTCTCTACATACTTAAATGACCTAGCGGGATTTATACAGTAATGCGTAATATGTAAGCGTTTCTATCGTTCGCTTATACAATTTTAAGGCATACAGATTTCTGTAAGGTACTATGATCTAACAGTACTATAGTGTGTGTTTTTCTGATATTATGCGTTTGATGTTGAAGGAGGCTACTCGTGTATTGTTCACAGAACGACATGCGTGGGCAGATCGGACTTGCTGGTTGCGGATTGCGGGTAGACTTTTAAGCGGACGGACTAGTTATTGGTAAGGGAGTAAAAATGCTTCCTTACAATCTTTACTTTTTCATTAAAATTTATTTTGTCCCCTTCAATCTAATCACCCTTAGATTAATATAGTCGTGCCAGCGCTTTCTCGAATCCTGTGATATGGGCTTCCCAACATGACCTTGAAGTCTTTTAGCAATTAGCCCCCAGATCACAAAATCTATGCAGCATAAAATTCAACCTTTCAGCAATGATACCGATAGTAATTAATAAAATATCATCATCTCCGTCTCAAATTGGTTGGTCTTCTTTTGCTCAGTTTATATGCTCATATGTTGAGATTTATTTATATAAGAGATTTATATATATATGAATGGAATTTGTCTAGTGCCAGAGAGAGTGAGTCACCATTGAAATTGTTTTATTAATATGCAATTGTACGAAAAAGGTTTCAATTGGAGTGCGTATATATGTATTCTACTTTCACTAAGGTTCGACTAAGCACATCTGAACCTATGTAAGCGTATTGTCTACACTACATATTCAAACACTATTATATATATATATATATCACACAAGTCGGATGTAAAATCGGAGATTTGTGGCAAAATTATATTTTCATTAAAGTATTCTAAGTTTCGATAGAAAATTGCACTTGTTCATGGATGTGTTCAAGAATACGTATCCATGCACGAATGTATGTATTGGCATATAGATCCTACTTGGAAGGATGAACCTGTTGAAAAAGTCATGGAAAAGGCTTTTGCATTGAAAAGGGCCTTGAATCAACACACCAAATCGGAAGATTCGTAGCTGTTACCCCTTCACATGAATTGCGGCGAAAACACCTTGAATTTATTGCAGAGGTTGCATCCGTCATTGAACACTTCTTCAACAGAATCAGAATTGTGTGAGATTTTGCAAACGAATTCGGTAAGTCTTCAAAGCTTGACTTCCCTTGGATTTCCAAATTGGAATTGTCTCGCGATCAGATATTGAACCTTGTCCTTGCCGTAGGCCTTTTGCCGTTCGCAGCAATAATGACATCTGCCAACGGTAACGGCGTGCGCCTTGACCTTGCAAACGAGTTCAAAATAGTAAAATATGTAGTTATTGAAAAAATGTTTTTCCTCTACTTTTTATTACTTAGTTTAAAAACTTTGCAAACATTTAAGCAAAGTATCTCTCAGTTTCATACGTAACGATTGTTTACCGCCACATACGATATGAGTTTCATTTTCATCAAACTTAATAGTAGTATCTTCATTAACTAAATGTAGAGTAAGCGCACTACCGTTTCTGTCCATTTTAATATTTGTAATACCATCCTGAACCAGCCGCTTCATAAGCATGTCCACATCTAAAGTACCGTATTCGTATTTGACGTTATTCAGTACTTCTTCGCGGGTTGGAGGCGACACTTTACCATTTCCTAAAGTCTGTTGTTCCGATGTTTTTTCACAGCACGGCTGGATGTTATGTACTTTATCCTTAACCTGCAGCAGACCAGTTACCGTTGAAACGCTGAAGCCATTACCTACGTCGCGCGGCACGATTTTCATGGCCATTTCTGCTGTAATGTAAACACGATCAAGTTTCCTCTTCAACGGTAGTCGTATTATTTCACCGCATTTAAATGTTATAATCTTCTTATCCTGTACAATACAAGAAAGAGAGAGAGAGAGAGAGAGAGAGAGAGTAAGAAGCCATCCAATATAATCAGTCTCTTACAAGTTATTACTCTATTATGCTTACTGGCTGTTCTATAAAAAGATTCGGAGCAGTTGGATGTGGTTTTGTATATGCGTCAGGGATGACTAATACGCTAGGCTTCAGCTCTTTGATCAATTTATTCGCCTGTTGGTAATTTAATGAAGTATCGATCGGACAATAAAAGGCTTTCATAGCCAGCGGTTGAAATGGTGCTAATACTTGCAAATATGGAAAATCAGGCTCTGCAAAACGCAAATACAAAATGAGGATAATATATATACGTTGTAACCAAACCGACTTGTATGTACCTGTAAATATAATGGAGTTATTTGAGTTATTACCCCACATCTCTATGAAGTGAACAGCGTCACCAAATCGGAGACTTGGATGCCCACAAAATACGACACAAGGCTAAATGTGAACGACATAATATAACAAAGCCTTGACAACAAATCAAACAATTGCGTCTATGCATAATTCTCTCAGAAGTTTACCCATATGATTCGCCATTCATTATATTGCTAAGCATAGTTCATCTGGCACGAATACATAACACAAAGATGACCGGTGTCATGAATCAAGTGAAGACTTAAAATTGGGCCAATACATCTTTAAATATTAAGAAAATACTATGGGTATCAGTTGATATGGTGCACGAACGATCGAGTTATATTCGGAACACGTGAATATAAAATAGAGGAGGAGGAAAGAGGAGACAGTTCGTGAAACTGAAAGATAGTTTAAAAACTCTTGTTGAGGAATATTTTAATTGGCAAGATTTTTCGAGCCACTTCCTATATCGAGTAAATCAAGGCTTCAGTCGACTCTAGTGAAAATTTGATCTTTGCCAAGACAATGACTAAACGTTTGTTGTTGAAACTTGCTTGGCTTCCGTTTCCAAATTATGCGTAGACGCAATGTATTTACCTGGCGAAAGTCTTTACTAAATCCATCAGAAAAAACATGTTTGTAATGCTTTAATTTGGAATTCCTTAAATAGAATGCATGAGGAAAAGGATCATCGGGTAGGTAGACTTTATTTTGTTTAGCCGAACTTAACCATTCAGCCAAAATGTTTGAATAGGCTAGAGAGCTGTCCGCAACTGGTGATATAAAGAACATAGGCACGTTATTTAATCCGGCATTTTCTAGATTTTGTGTTAAGCACTCGAAAAGATCGTATACTACGCCCGATGGATAGCAAGGTATTAAAGCGGAACCATTGTTACGTATAGTTAAAGCTGTTAAAAAGAATATATGTTTCTTTAATAGTAGAAACTTTTTCATCTTATTGTTTGAGATACTACTTAGACTTACCCACATTCATGCAGAGTTCTCCTAGTTTCGTGTCAGGATTAACAGTAGGCGCTTGAGTTAAGCCAGTCATTATTAAAACATCTGCATGCTTTAAGGCTGATTGATTTATTGGCCTAGGATGTGTAGTTAGAGTAGATGAGCCGCTAACGTAGCAGATTTTCTCATGCGCTGTACTTAACACCCAATTACTGGATCCTAAACAGTAACCCGAACTAACGGGTGTAGCAATGAAAGCTCCCAAAATATCTAATTTTTCATCATAACCCATTATTGTTACTTGAGCCAAGCTATTATGCACATCTTGCAAACTAAATATTGTCTTCCATTTTTTGGGACGAAAAGCGTCGCATAATGGACTTGGCAATAAATGCAACATGTCTTTCCAAAGATTGGCCGTACTCGCTTTAGGGGCTACTTCTATATATTCTACTAACTCTTCCAAGAAAAATCGACCAATTTGTAAAGTGGGTTCGGTCGCGTACACTTTTCCTTTGAAACCTGTATTCTCGGTTATGTAAGGCAAAGCGAGCATATTCAAATAATTTGATATCAAAATGACATCAATTTCATTGAAATCCATCATTTTATCCATGGGGGGTGTAAATTCAGGTGAAGAGTCTACAAAGACTCTATTACAACACTCCTTCAGTTCACCGTCCATTTGCGGATCATGTTCTCGACTGGGAATCCAGTTTGGTAGATTCGATAATTTTACACTTTGCACAAACGGCAGTGGCAGGAAATTCAACACAGTTTGCTCAGTTAAGCCGCAATCAAGCATAATACGCAAACCTTTGAATGTTATCACATAACATGGCTTGGCCAAATCATTACTTAAGCAATACTATATTTCAGAAAGTAATGATTATTTGTAGGTTTCGGTATAAATTGAACAACAAACCGGGACTCACCAAACGCATTTTCTGTCATCTATAGTTGACTCAAAGAATAATTTTAATCTTTTCGCTTTTTTTTCTTTTTAACTTTAACCAAGCGCTTGCTGGAAATGTTTGTTTACACAATTTTTTTTTTTTCTTTTTATTCTTTTATGATATACAGCTAAGTGATAACAAATTAAACGTTCTTTATTAAGGGTAGATGGCGCCACAAGAGCAATATCGGCGATTCCGCGACAAAAATAAGAAAAAAAAAATTTCCATTGGGATTCCAGTGTATAATCGCGTTTTAGTTCTTTATACCATATCTATGTAAATAAATGAATCATATAAAGTGAACAAAAGCGTTGTCTTAAGTCTAAAAACTATTTACACAATTTAGAGCTGCAAGTAAAGCAAATTATTACATTTTCGCTCGCAAAAAGGAAAAATATTATTCATATGCTGCTCTTCAAGCAGACAGAGGCGCTAAACGCTCTTCGTTTATAAGTGACTTTTTTTTAAATTACTTCTTAACTTCTAGAACAACTTGACATTCAGTCGCGAAACTTACTTTAAAAGCAGAGAAAAGAAATTTTTTATGAAAAGTTTCGATTACAAAATTTCTTCACAAATTACCATCGATTTGCGAACGTTATTCAAACGAATTCAAAAACACAAAACTACTACAGCAATCTTTTGTCAAATCTACTCTCCCGGAATACTTCTAATTCAAACCTGTACTGGCGACGCGATATCCTGGCAATGCAAAAAATAAATTACTCGTCATACATAAAATAAAAATGCAGGTAAACAAAAATTTCAATATATTCTTCCCTTGTCAAGATCCAATTTGAAGGGACTTGTGCAGATCTGTAACGTTCTGGACAAATAAGTCCGTGCTACCAGCTGCCCTGTTAACTCTACAGCACTTACTTTTCATGAAAACAGTGAAAGCAGTTTCATCATTGTATGCGATTTCAAACGAAAATTATCATTTCCAAGGGAAAATGTTTCATTTTATTTATTTTCATTAGGAAATTTTTCTTCTTAAAGAAGCCAGCATTATGAGTTAAGAGGCGACGAAATGTTTAAAGGAAACTGCTAGGTACTCTGTAAATACTAAGTGCTGCCAACTTCCATATCTTTAATATCAACATTGTCGTTCGTCATTTGCTTTTTGACGTTGAGGCCAAACTAGTCGGACTACTAGCATTTAATTATGATTTTAAAGACTTAATTTAGAGGCTTTGACAGTTTGAGTTTATTTCAGCGTGGTTGTAAGGCTTTATTTCGATGAATCGCAACATCAACTTAATCCATGCAAAAATCCCGAAAGTTGTCGAAAAAGGGCATTGTCTAACTGCTATGAATGCTAACATTGGCTTATGAAAAACCCAATCTGTCAATGATCCTAGCCAAACTGCGTTGGCGATAATTGACTGACGTCAATATAAACCAGATGATGTTTTTAACTCTTCTGAATTGTTGCACTGATGCGCAAAAAAGCGACAGGCCACGTCCTGCATCTTTTTCAATCTACTCATACATTTGCAGTTTCAAACGCTTCTAAAAGTGGAAACATAGCAATTACCATGATTTTAGTTATGGTGGCTATTCCGGAGTGTTCACTCTTTAATATTCTGAGCTACAATTGAAACTACAATCACTTAGACCGGCTGCATTTGACAATTGAATTACTGACAAATGCAATACCCCAACTCTCCGCGTAGTGCGGAGTGCATTATTAAGCAGCATGTACATTTTACGGCATCTCCCCGTTGTATATTTCTGATATTATATAAATTAAAGATTAAATTAGGATAGAAGCCGTAATGAATAACTCCTTAAACGATTATATTGCAGTCTAGATAACTACTCATATTAATAATATAGACAATTTCGAAGCAGCCTTTAGATTTAAGAATTTTAATAATTTGCGTTTTAGTCTGTATACTTGCTTAGACCTTTTGACAATTGATACAATGAGGTGATCGGATATTAATCACTCCATCTTTAATTAAAAGCAGATAATACAATTATATTCGGTCGTAATCGAATCCTTTATATCCATCACCGCTATCCTAAAAAAAACAAAAAAAGTAGAAACTATATTTTTATTTAGGCGTAGCCAATTTTTTTTGTCGCAGGTTTTGTCCTTTGACAAATTTAAGACACTTCCTTCGTAAATTTGTGGGCGATCTATTCAGTCAATTAGGCGCACGCACAAATGAACATGCTTAGGTGCATTCCAAATTTGAAATTGGCGAAGAATTTATACACTTTATAAGGTTTTTGAAGCTTATTTCTTCGAGTTATAGAAGTATTGAAAAAAAGTTAAGCCTTCGCGCCATAACAGTGCAGGCACTACAGCCGCCATCGGCTTTATTAAAAACTCTACCGCACTTGAGATTTGAACCCACGACCATCGAGTTGTTAGTCGAGACTCTTGACACTGAGGCGGGTAGAGTTTTAAATAAAACAAACAATTTCAAAGAAATTTGACATAAAAAGCAAAAAATTAAAAAACACAGATAAAGAGAAAGAAAATAAGGTATCATAAATTAAATCTTTGAGTTCAGAGGTTTTTTTTTCGGGGATGTTGAGTTAAAATGGAAATTCAAATGTTTTTTTACTCAGTGTGTTATTATTATTATTATTATTATTTTAATTTTAGACTAATGAAATTAATTCTTAGACTAAAAAAAGACATTGAGCACTAGCAACACAGGCTATCGGCTCGACTCAGTGTGTTATCTGTTATTGATATGCTGAATCACAGAAGAAGAAGTATAAAATTCAAATGCATTTAGTAAAAAGTGTTAAAGTGAAGACTTGGCAACCATATCCAAAACGACCGGCTGGCAATAGTCGTAATTACAAGAAAGAGTAATAAAGAATAGAAGGCCAGTTCCGATAGAATTTTTGGTAAAATGAAAGCAAAGATTTTATTAATTCTACGCTGTCGCGACCTCAAATCAAATAGTTCTAACAAATGGTAATAAAAATGAATTTACAAAAATTGAAGGAAAAATTGAACCAAAACAATTTCGTTGGAAAAATAAGAAAAAAGTATGCAAGCTGAAAATGAGGATGGCGACTTTTCGTGCCTCCCTTTGTTGTGTATGAAGATGAACGTAATAACTGTAAAACTCTTTGACAAGTGAGTGCGCGGTCTAACTAACCTTCTGCACGTGATATTAGCACTCGATAAGGATGTATAAATTAAGATTTTTAAATAAAAAATTTTTAGTAATAATACGAAAACAACAAGGTATAATTAAAATTTTTATGAAATACGCATGCACTCGTAGACTTAATTCATGTGGCTTCTTAAAACCCATTCGTTTAATATATGGTACTACTGCTGCAATTGATTGTTTTTGAAACGTTGCCACGTTAAGTTGTAACTTTCGAGAGTTAAATGAAAATGCAATTACTATTAATTAAATGCACTAAAAATTTGGCAACTCTATGCAAGCCGATCGGCCGTTGCAGACAATAGTTCTAAAAGAGAACGAGAGGGCTGTGGCTTTCGATAGAATTTGTTTTGTAAATTTTTCTTAAATGGAAATTTCAACAAATGATAATAAAAGTGAATTTATAAAAATTGAAGGAAAAATAAATCGAACACAATATTGTTGGAAAAGTAAAAAAATGTGTAAACTAAAAATACAGACGCTGTTTCGATGCCTTTGAAATTGGAGGTAAGTATTCAAATTTCTTTTTTTTTTAACAAGTTAAAAGCTGTTGGATAATTGATGACATATAGCCGAATTTAAGCTCTACGCTATATATTAACAGCCAATTTTAGATATAAGGAAATGTAAAAGGTGGCAGAGCATTCCAGATCAGTCTATATTATTCTTATAGCTTAGGTTTACGCTACCTCTTCTCCCCTAGCATTTAATTTACCAACTTCTTAGACAAATGTTTTAATAGTTTTGTGCTTAATTTTTTTTCCAGAATAATAGAAAGGTTTGAATCCAACAGGAGCTAGAAGGAGATTGTGAAGAAGCAAGTGTAGTGCTCACCTGAATGCAGAATGAAGAATACCTGAAAAAGCTTTACAGTGACAACATTCTGCTTATGTTAAAGAACGTCTTCAATTATAATGCAACATCTGCTCTCCCCATCTATAAGAATAATTTTAATAAAGCACGCCGCCTGGATGTATAATGCGTTCAATGAGATTGTCGTTCCGCAAAGTTGAAGTCCGATTGTAACCTGAAAACTACTCGATAAAGTCATAAGGATTCTTGCAAGTTGAACAAATTGTGCTGTGTAACTCGCGATTAATATAAAAACAATATGGTTTCTAAAAACTCACAGTGTTTGGATTTCCAAAGGTGATTCATGCTTGATCGAGAAGCACACACTTAGAGATTCTGCCCAGGCATCACTGCCCGGTGGCGCCTGCTATATAGAGACGTGCTTCAAGCAACGTAAAATTATCGTAAATCAACATTTGGAGTGGGTATAAACTTAGTAATGCAAAGCCCAAAAACAAGACCTCTTGAAGATTAAGACCAAATGAGTATAAAAGGAGAATGAATAAATAAATTAATAGGAAAGAAATTGAAGATGATTATACAAAGCAATTTCGGTCACAAACTACGTCTTGAGAACATAAGGATTCTAATCGTACAGTGTAACAAGTGATTAATGAAAACATAAGATAGCGGACGGTTTCTAATTACAGTGTTTGGATTTCTTAAGGCGCTGTTACAACCACCACCACGCCCTCTCTATCGCACTTCATCTTCCGGGAACACACACTGCAACGAAAACTATCGTTACCTCATAAAAACGACAATCCTGAAGATCGTATTCAAACAGCGTTCACGATCATTAACGGACGTCAATTTAATCGAGAAGCTAGTTGCTCCATTTGTTAATGTAGGAATCGGAAAAAGATTTTATATTTATCAAGAGCTGCAATTCCTTGGAAAGGTAAGTGTGTTGTTCAGTTTTACATGGTTTGATGTGATGTACATCACATATCATGTACATTTTATTTATAGTATCTATGTGGAAGAGTAGTTTTGTGCACTACTTTACAGATAGTTGTGCAAATCAAAAGTATATGTAACCGCCACATTTTTTCAAAAGAAAGGATTGAAATTTCAATACTCTATGATTTTGAGCAGAAGCGATCGGATTTTCTATTTTTGTGCAGTTATTGTGCAGTTATTGTATAATTATTCATGGAATATACATGCAAAAATCGCTACAATTATTTTCGGATACGAGTAATGGGGAAAATTCTAATTTTTTGCTTTCGAAATCGGAAGTGTCGTCAATTCATCTTGTACTCCGGGGAGGGTCCTTTAATTGCTTTCGACGTTACCATATGACGTATGCCCGTCACAAATGGCGGGGTCTTCTTGAATAGTATTCCTTCAGTGGCGCTCCATAAAAACGCGCAATCTCCCATTCTTAAAATAAAGTAATTCGCCCAAAGCGTGTATAATGCAAGGAATAAATAAAAACATTTTTTCAAGTTCACCTTGCAATCAAATTTCATATTAACAGGTCCATTATATACCTTGTTGAAAAAAATTGTTCTTTTCATGCGAATTCATTAGAGTTAATCTTTTCCAGCTCCAAGAATTGCGCCGTGGACGCAAGCCGACAAAAGAACGTGGCCGAGTAAGGATCAAAGTAAAAGTAAAGTAAAATGTATTTCGTCGAACTAAAGTCACAGAAGGTGAAAAATTATTGTTGTGCGATCTACAATGTAGCGGTGAGTGCAATAGATAAATACAAGTTAATTGATCACCATTATAGAAAAATAATATTAGAATTAAAGAATCGAAATTATTAAAGCGAAATAGCGTATAATAGTTTTAAGAAATTTTGGCTACATTTAAAGGCGGAAACACGTCACTTATTATTTAAATCTTTAAAAATAGTTTTCACATATTAACCATAAAGCGATGTAGCATAAAAGGTCGTCATAAGTCAGTGTAGAAATTTCCTGCTTGCTAAGTTATGATTAAAGTTAATATCTTTCCTTTTAGTGGCTAGAGAGAAGAGAAAGTCTCGATAGAAACGAGGGACACTGACAGATGTTTCAAACTTTAGAATCATCATAGCTTTGCGCAACTCAACGGAGATCGAAGCAAGTAATAGTTATAAATAAATGTAAACATTTTCAAATTTATTTTGTACATAATCGATATGGAAAACATATTCGACAAAATGCACAGGCTGCGAATTGCTTTGCAGTTTCCAACAATTGGATTATATTCTTGAGAATTATTTTAATTATCAACTCCTCACCATCATTTAATGGTTGTTATGAACGGTGTGTGTTTATTTATTTTTTTTACAACAGCAAGTTTGTGTTTATGCGCTGTGTTCGCAAACTATTTGCCTTCAGATATGATATAACTTATAGTTGCAACTTTTTGGAATGCATTCTTACATCTGTCGTCTCACATCGTGGGTCGAACATTAATTATTGCTTTAGGATAATTTCTGGTGCGTATTAGTTAAGCTTTTGTAACAATCATAAAAATCTTTTTCCCGGCAAGAAACTAATACTTATTCTTTTACATAGTTTTGATTGACATGTATAATGACTGTAGTCGGAAAATCCTTATTTGTCAATCTAACAACACCTTTGCCTTTCATGGCCTCATTTTTTGCGTCACTTTTATGATGTACTGTACTGTAACTTCCTGAGATCCGTCCAACTATCGAACTACGGACCTAATTATTTTTAGGGCTGCTTTAATGCTATATATCGCTTCTTCGACAGTAAAATTATCAATTATCTGGTTATTTCGGGATGCGTTCGACGCTTTCTTTTATACTCTATGAAATATGGTATTTTGATTTATATGTAAATTCCTTTTTAATGTAGGATTTTCAATCCATACCTTTAAGCATTTTTTTTTTTGGTTTAGATATCTGTATGTGTTCTTAATTTAGTATTTCTCTATGCGCAATATATAATCCATCCTTACGCACACAAATATATGTAAGTGTTTTTATTTGTTTCTTTTTTGTTGGGGATTAATTTCCCCTTAAAGCCAACCTTCATACTATTTGTTGGGATAAAAATATCTTTATTAGAAGGATCTCTTATATGTAGTCTTATAACTGAAACAATCTCCAAAAGTGTCGCTCTCTACTTAAAGAATTCAACAATTTTGAAGTTCGTAAAACGCCAAGTCATTTTTGGCTTAGAAACGTTAAAATTGAATTAATGTCTTTATTAATATTTGGTTGCTTATACAATTAGATTCTGATATGATTTGCATTTATTAAGTATAGTGAATATCTCGTCCTTTGATTTTATGATGATTTCTGTTTGAAGATCGGTTGCCGTGTTATTATTTCTTTTTACGGCTTTTAGAAGAATAGTTTTGAGATGGAATTAGTTAGTATTTTTATTTCGGATAGGTTTAATGCCTCTTCTATTTTCTCAAATGGGATTTTTGTTCTCTATTTATTGCTCCTATCGATAGCTGTATTTCCTGCTCAGATAAAAGGAGTGGGTTTATTATTCCAGCCTTGGCCCAATGTATGGCGTGGTTGATATTCTGCAGTTCTTCTTTAAGGATTTTTATTTGATATTGGGTATCGGAAATTAATTTTTCTTTATTATAGTTTTTGGCAGATTTAAATTCTTCTATCAAACTGTTAGTGATCTTGGTTATATTGTTATACCTATCCTCGTAAAGCTTATTGATTATGGTTTGTCGGTTGTTGTTCTGTAGTGGGTTGTTTATTATGTCCTGTATTGTCATTAGGTCTTCGTGAACGGGATTACCCGCAATCCATTTCCAGGCGGATCCTATGAAATCCAATGATCTTTTCCTTATTATTTTCCCAGGCTTCGGGCGTCGTAGTAAAATTTTCGATTTGATCCATTTCATGCTTGAGATCAGGGAATAGAGAATGATCGCTCTTGTTGTTGACTATCTTTTCCAGTTCATTGATTTTTGTTTCGTATTCGTCCAAGTCAATTACGTGGATTAGTTTGAAGTTTCCAGTTTGTATTCGTGCTTGTCCAGTGTGGATGGCTACTACTTGTGATTTGGAGAAGTCCAAAATTTGTATGTCTCCAATAATTATCCCAATCAAAAGCCTGAAATTTGAAGTTTAGTTCCTTATATTATTTTTGTTTACAATTTTTCCTGAATTAGTTATAATAATTGTCCCTTTGTCTTCTCTAACTATTTCTTTGTGGTATCGGAAAGTCAATTTTGAGCCTAGTCGTTGGTTATGTTTTACGTAGATTTCGTCCCCTGGTGAGTAGTGTTTCATTTTTGTTTTTGTTTTGTTGTGGTATTTCAAGTCTTGTCTCTGTTTTTCTTTCAGTCTATTAATATTTTGCAGTCTTAATTTTTCGGGAGGTGACGTCCCACACGCTACGCTAGGAGTAGAAGATGAGTATCCAATAAAACGACACTCATCAAACCTAGACTTAATGAGCTCAAGCTTTTCCCACAAAGAGCCGGAATTTCTACTCAATTCCGAGAAACCATAACGGGTCTCCGTGAAATGTTTATAAAAATCAATGTCCCGCTGCCTACTGTCAGGACATGACCATCTTAAGCCTTTAGACGAGTCAGCGACTGCGTCAGCAGCACGGCCGAGAATACCGGCACACTTTGCATGACCAAAGCGCTCGCAGAGCCAACAAGAAACGAATCTATCAGAATCTGGGCCAGATTTCGCCCGACAAGGTGTATATAAACACTCCATGTCCAGTCAAAAAGACAGTTGTGGATTATGAAGAACGGACACAAAAATCACTAAAAACAAATCTTGAACATAAAAATTTATCAACCAAATTTGTGCAAAACTTCTCTGTTACGTTGACACTGTAACGAGAGATCAATAGCAACACAAACTCCAAACAGCGAAAAAATAACAGAGAAAAAAGAGAGATTTATATCAGAGCTCAAAATTTTTGTTTGCAAAAATCAAATGAATCAAAGCGTAAAGGAAAAATATTACTTTTACTTTGAATTCACTCACTTTCTTCTCAAAGTATATTATAAATTCACACACTATAAGGCAGAATAGCCACGAAATTCAACAAAAAATTAAAATATTAATTGCCGAAACAAAATATAGACGACTATACCGCGCGACAGAGTTGCCAGACTTGTGTTCGTTTCGTTCTAATCATTTAATTGTTTTTCTATTTTTTTCTTCTTTTACTTTAAGAACAAAACAAAAATGACTCCATTTGGTGAGATATAATTTCCAATTACATTATTATCAAATTTTTATTAAGGAGTTTATTTCCTTGCTTGTTGGTGGTCTGGACAGGCAGTCGGCTACGATGTTTTCCCTGCCGAGTTTGTATTCCAACTGGTAGTTATATTCCTCGGGGATGGCTTTCCATCTTTTGAGCTTCTGCTTTGTGTTTCTATTGCTTAGAGCATAAGTGAGTGGTTGATGGTCTGTATAAATGTTGACTTTTCCTGATCTATATAGGTAGTTACGCAGCGTCTTCAATGACCATATTATGGCTAGCATTTCCTTCTCTTTTGTGGCGTAAACCTCTTCTGTCTTACTTAGCGTACGAGATAAGAATGCTATTCGTCTCCTATCCTGGGATAAAACTGCTCCTATGGCGAAGTTGGATGCGTCCGTTGTAGGCTCGAAGGGTTTATCGAAGTTGGGATGAGTCAATATGACTTCATTCGAGTTTAGAGAATTCTTTAGGTGATTGAAGGACTCCATCTCCTCTTTCCCTAGCCTTATTAATTTTTTCTTAGAGGCTTGTTTGGACACGCGTCCACCCTCCCCTCTTAAAAGGCTTGTCAGGGGCTTGGCGAGCTTAGCGAAGTCTTTAATGAACTTCCTATAGTAGCCTGCCATTCCGAGGAATAATCGTAGATCTTTGAGTGTTTTGGGTGGCGGAAAGTCCACGATTGCTTGAATTTTGTTGAGGTTGGGTTTAATTCCATTTGTTCCTACTATAAAACCTAAAAATTCGACTTCATCCTTTAAAAATTCGCATTTGTCGAGCTGAACCTTCAGATTGGCTTTCTCTAAGGTATCAAACACTTCCTGTAAGTTGTTGAAGTGGTCATTTTCGTCTTTTCCAAATGTGATCACGTCATCGATATAGACGTAGCACCGGTTCCCGATGTGTTCTCTCAGAACATCGGCGAGAGTCCTTTGGAATATTGATGGGGAATTTTTTAAACCAAATGCTAATCGGACGAACTCATATTTGCCGTTGTTGACTGAGAAGGCGGTTTTTTGAATGTCAGATTCCTTGAGTGGTATCTGGTGAAAGCCACTTTTAAGATCGATTATAGAGAAGAATTTGTTTTTGCCAAGGTTAGCTAATACGTCAATTATTTCCGGAATTGGGTATTTATCGGGTATGGTGATTTCGTTTAATTTGCGGTAGTCGACTACTATTCTGTACTTTTTCTGACCAGAAGAGTTCATTTTTTTTGGTACAATCCACACAGGTGAGTTATACGGAGACTGTGAAGGTCTGATTATGTTATCTTGTAAGAGTTCTTTTATTTGATTGTCTACTTCTTCCTTCAGAGCCATCGGATACGGATAGTTTCTAGAGTAGACTGGTTGATCGGACGTTGTTCGGATTTCGGCTAAGACGTTTGTTGCGAAGGTCAGTTTTCTGTTAGGGTCTGCAAATAGGCGTGGGCAGGTTTGGAGTAGTCCTCGTAGACAAATGTGAAGTGCGTAGTTTTATATTATTGATGTGGCTTGATATGTACTGTTTTAACGGAATTATAACGTTTGGGTCTATTGTCATGAAGTCAAGATTGGTATGGATGACTGCATTGAGTTCTCTCAATGTATCGTTACCGATAATGCCATCGAAAGATTTAAGGCTTGGTAAAATGAAAAATTTAATTTAATTCCTGTTCGGGAATAGTTGCACGTTGGCATGGTGAGTTATTCTTATTTTTCCGCAGACAGAGCTGGCTTGAAAGGGTTTCTCATATATAATGGAGTTCCTTATGTGTTTGGGTTGAACATAATTTTTGTTCGACCCTGTATCTATTAAGAATTTTAAAATATCTCCACCGCCATTTTAATGTTCAAAATAAGGCAGTGAAGATTGCCTTAATCTAAAAAATGAATATCTGCGAGCTGTTCTACTTGCTGATACTCCGGGATTTTGATTGGTTCCATACTTTCGTTATATGTTTCTGCTAGATTTGGTTCTATTGTTCTTCCTTCATCGTTGTCCTCTTCGCACATTATGTTGTAGGACCTTTGATGTTTGGTAGGCATTCCTTGAAATTGTTGTGAAGGTGATCGTTTTTGTACGTAGGTTTGGTATTGGTTCGGGAGATTTGCGTAGTTTATGTGTTTGGTCTGTATGCTCCTGTCTACATCCATTGGTTCATCACGTCGTTGTGGTTTTGGGGGCACTGCTGGTTGGTATTGAGGATTTCCTTGCAATGTCGGATGGTTGTTGATACTGTCTGTCAAATGTTGTGGGTGATCTCGGATATTGTCTATGGAAAATTGGAAGTGGTTTCTGCTGATTGCAGAACGGTGTCCTGGCTTCTGGAATGGGCTGATAATTCCTTTTTTGCGGTAAGGGTGGACCTATTTATACTATGGTTTTTACCATAGTTGATGAGTCCTTTACTATCTATCCGTTCCTTTTGTTCCCATTTGCTGCACACTCTTCTCCTTCGGCTTGGCTGCTCCTCGGACTGGTGCTCCCTTTTGGTGGTGATTCCTCTTTTTTCTGTCTTGAG